CTGTCACTAAAGGAGTAGCTGTTCTCAACACGTCTGTTGCCCCCATGCTCAACCCCTTCATTTACACCCTGAGAAACCAGCAAGTAAAACAAGCCTTCAAAGACATGGTCTATAAAGTAATATTTTCTGCCACGAAATGAATTTTTTGTCAAAAATAAAGGACACTCTGAAGAGCTATTATGTTAAATCTTGGAATTCCTGCATGTCATACAACTATGCTTGCTGTTTATAGTTTCTTTAGTTGCTTTACACCCACATTACAGTTAATGTATTTTCCCAACCCATTTCTTCCACTTCCGTGCCTAAGTTTCTCCAGTGCATTGTTCATTGACATTTAAAAATACAGGAAAGGTTATTTCTCCTACAGAATTTTCTGGGAATGAAACGTATTTCTTTAAGACATACTTTATAGCATAAGGTAAAAAATAATTTTAATTCTTTTAAATATCATTCCCTAAACGGATCCTATGATTTCACATCGTAGTTCAAATGTAGAGTTCCAGAATTAATGTCTAATTTCTTGTGTATTTTCAAGATGAACATTGATGATTTCTTGAGGTGTAAAGAATCTACATGTTCATATTATTAAATATTAATTTCAGTCCAAAGAAATAATATGTAGTAGAATATTGCACATTAAATGTACAGGTTTATACTTTGTGAAATTTAGTGTATATTTTAAAGATAAATATTGTTCATGATATTATGTCATATTTACATAATTTCTATGTTTTCTGTTTTCTATCACTTTTAGAAAATGTTTATATTAAAAAATTAAAAAGAAATGCTATAAAACTAAAACACTGCCACTTTCCTGAAGTCAAGGATCATCTTTATGAGTTATTTTGATTTCTTTGTCAGGTGTTCATACATCTCCATTTCTTTAGGGTCTGTTTCTAGAGATTTATTCTGTTTGTTTCATTGCGATACTTTTCTGTTTCCTCACATTCCTTGTAACTTGGTTTTGTTGCTTACACATTTGACAAAACAGCCACCTCTCTCAGTCTATTTAAATATGACTTGTAAAGGGAAGACCATCCCCATTCTGTCCACTAGAGATTCTGGGGACTGCTCAAATCTTTTCTGAGGATGTGTCTTCTCAAATTTGTGTTTGGAGATTTCTAATCAACAGATTTTTGTCCATTTTATGTAGCAGGAACTTAAAATCTATTGCTCTGTTTAATAGTATGTTTGACTCCATAAATGGTGGAAACAGACCATGTTTTGTCTAATATTCTCTGAATGTTATTTCAAATGGTGGTGAATTTCATTTGAGTAGCCAACCAAATCCCTTATTCACAGCGAAGACCGATATTCTCTCTGTGCTGTTAGGCATTCCCTCCTCTGCCTTTTCATCCACTTGTACCTCTCTTCTCATAAATGGAACTGTATTAATGATTTCAGTTTAAGGAGAGATTTAAGATAGAATTGTCCTTTTTAACTTATTTTTGTTTTTGAAATTTTATATTCATTTAGAAGTAATTATCTCTTTTCACATTTAAAATGTATTTATTTTTTAGTGCAGTATAGTTGATGGAAAATATATATTTCAGGTTAACAACATAGTGATTCACAATTTTAAAAAGATATATTCCATTTATGGTTATAAAATATTAGGTATATTTCCTGTGTTGTATTGCATATCTTTGTAGCTGATTTATTTTAACATAGTGGTTTGCATCTCTTAACCTCTCACCCCTATCTTGCCCCTTCCCCCTTTCCTCTCTTCACTGGTCACCACTGGTTTATTCTCTATATCTGTGAGTCTGTTTTCCTTGTTTTGTTATATTCACTTGCTTATTTTATTTTTTAGAATTCACATATAAGTGTTAACATACAGCATTTGTCTTTCTCTGTCTTATTTTACTAAGTATAATATCCTCCAGGTTCATCCATGTTGTTACAAATGGAAAAATTTTATTCTTCAGATAAGTTTTTGTCAATGGAGAGGATCAACTTTCCCTTACCCTGTCTCTCTGCCTCTCCTGTCTACCTACATCACTGTCATATATGTAGTGTTTACTCATTTAGTTAACATTTGCATGTTGTTTTCTATACTCCTAATTTTCCCTTTTGTATTTCTGCCTGCTTGTTACAAGTTATAAAGGCAGTTGTTTTATTTCTTTACAAACTTCCCAAGTAACGAATTCATAAACAAATAAAATTATCATTTAATTTTTATTTTGTGATAGTATCATGTTAAATCTATTTGAAAAAAAATGTAACCCATTCTATGAAAGTACAATGGTAAGAATAGGTGAGTGCCTACAGACACTCACACCTGATTATAGGCAATAAGAAAAAGGGTTTCTATTGTGGACTCAAAATACATAGGGCTCTTTACATTAACTTACATATCAGACAAACCTGGAAATCAAGAAACCAAAGTCAAATCCACTTAGCCTGTACGTAGTTAGACATAACTACTGTCCCAAGACAACAAATTTTCTTCATGATACACTGCAGGCGAGGGGCTCATTAGTTATAGGAACTGGGCTTGGGCACATTTTTCACAGTTTTCAAATACTTCCTCCCAGGGTCATTTTCTTGGGTTTGAGTGAATGATGTAGGACCTTCTGTGAAAGAGACAATGGAAAGATCAAGACAGTATTGTAGATGTGCTGATAAAGGAAAGCTAAGACATAAATTATGCTTATGTCATCTTTTCCAAGATACTCTCTAGAATGTCAGTGTCTAACACCATTCTAGATTCTGAGTTTGTCATTTTCTTCATGAGTGTAGGAAAGACCATATTTGTATGAATTGAAAGAATCTGAATATAAATATGAATTTTATCAGGGTAGCTTAATTTACCTTCATAGACCATGGCTTTCCTTTTCCAGTATAATTGGTAAAAACAGCATAACCTTCAGTTAAATCACCTATTTTTTTAGGAAATATTTTCAAAGGAAAAATAAGGAAAATTCAATCTCTTCTGTTGCACAGAAAGTGCAATTATTTTCTGGGAAAACTAATACAACAGTTAATGCAGCCTCACTTAATATAGCAAGTTTAATAATTCTTAAAACATATTTTACCTGAAATGTCTATTTAATTTTGCAACACATTTTAATTATATTTTATTGATAAGTTGAAGGAGATATTTTAATCATGCTTTTAGACTGTATACCATATTTTCGTGGTGACATGGAAGAAATTTTAGAGATACTAAGATACATATTTTTATTTCACATAAAATAAAATTTATTTTTGTATGTGGATTTTAGTAAGCTTCTTATAACAATCTCTATTTTCATTTGAATCCATAGTCAACCTTGCTTTGATATGAGAAACAATGCAGATTACTGATATCTAAATATTTGTTACATGGATGCAAGTTGATTTTTCCCATATAACTTAAAATAAGACCTTGTTTTTAGGCTAATAAAAGAGGCATTGAAGATATATACATACGTATAACTGAAAGAATGAATTGAGGCGCTTCAAGAATTTATGTAGTGAAACTCAGAGTTTTTCATTTAGCTGTGTTTTTAGAGGTGCTTCTTTTACACAATCACAGTCATTTGTTTGAAGAACAGGCCATTCTCTGGACCATGTTCTTGAAGGCTTGCTTCACTTGCTGATTTCGTAGTGTGTATATAAACGGATTCAAGAGGGGAGCCACTGAGGTGTTGGGCACAGCTACTCCTTTGCTTAAAGTCACTCTTTCCCGGGCAGAAGGCTTAATGTACATGAAGATGCAGCTGCCGTAAGAGAGGGAGACAACTACCATGTGAGAGGAACACATGGAAAAGGCTTTTTTCCTTTGACCTGTGGAGGGAAATTTCAGAATTGTCCGGATGATACAAGTGTAGGAGAGAATAACTAGTGTGAGGGTGAACATGAGTGTTACCACAGCTAAAAAAAATGCCATAGTTCTAGAAAGCGAGTGCTTGTGCAAGAAAGCTGCAGAATTGGAGAAGAATCACAGATAAAGTGATCGATTATATTGGAGGCACAGAAATCCAACTCACCAGCAGGATTATTGGTAGAAAGATGATCAGGAATCCTGCAAGCCATGAGCCAAAGACTAGAAGCATGCAGACTCTGCTGTTCATGATGGTCGTGTAGTGCAGGGGTTTGCAGATGGCCACGTAGTGGTCATAGGACATGGCGGCCAGAAGGTAAAATTCCATCACCCCCAAGAAGATGAAGAAAAACAACTGAGCCACACAACCATTATAAGAAATGGTTCTGTCCCCCGTCACAACAGTGACAAGGAATCTGCGAATGCACGCCGACATAAATGTAACTTCTAGGAATGAGAAGTTCCGAAGGAAGAAATACATTGGAGCCTGCAGATGGGGATTTGAAAGGGTGAGGGTGATAATGATCAGGTTCTCAGTCACACTCAGCATGTAGGTAACAAGAAGAAATATAAAAAGTACAACGTGCCACTGTGGGTCATTTGTCAATCCAAGAAGAATAAATTCTGTTACTTCTGTGTAATTTCTCGGTATTTTCCTTCTTTGTAATGACATTCTTTGTTCTAGCTGTAAAATAGATGAAGATAAAAGAAAGCTATGACACCAGAAAAGAAATACACACACATGCATGCACGCACACTTCAAAATATTGCTGCCTTGTGCTTTTAGAGAAAAATTATTTTGTAGCATGTAGAAACAAAATACTTAAAAAACCCTGTAATTCATTATGATATATATTAATTCACTATTCTATAGTTCCTTCATTGTATTCTCACACATTTCAGTATAAATGTCTGTCTTCTGAATATTTGAGTATATTCCTGAAAATAACAAAAAAAAGAAATTAAAGCCCCAAGTAAAACTCTTATTTAGAGCTGCCTTCCAATTACCACAATATTCTTGAAGATACTCTTTTGTTGCTTTCTTCCTCATATACATTGTAAATATTTCTATTTTTGAATAAGCACTTCTCTCTCCTTACCCATTTGAACTTTCATAATCCTCGGAGACAACTCTGTTGTCCATTTGATAGAGTAATGCATCCCAGAGAATAGTATATAGAGGTATTTAATGGATGAGAGCGTTTTCCCAGTCTAACCTCAATGTCTACACTGCAATACACTCTAGTTCTAATTACTAATCTATTATAATGGTGTCTTGTAAGAATGTAAATATACTCTTCTTGAATTTTTTTTGTTAAATGCTTATCATGAGTCTACACTGTGCAATGTCTGAATACATTTTTATGTAAATATATGTGAAAACATACAAACTAGTATTTTTACTTAAGCCCTAATTTTATTTTTATAAACTGCCAATGTTTTTACTTATTTCCAAAATCGTTGTGCATTTCTCCACAGTATTGCTTATTTTTTCCTTCAGGGATAATAAAAGGGAATAGTTGACATTCAAGGTAAGTTTTCGAGAGGCAAAGAATCTTTCTTTTCTTTTTTCCCACTTTTGGTTTCTAATACAATTCTTGGTAGTGTACAGGATTTAATTGTTTGCTCCCATTTTAAGTTATTCTTTTCCATTGACCCTTCAGATGTGCTGTCATCTAAGATACTATTTTTCAACATTACATGTCCAGAAAGCCTGCCTAAGTGTGTAAGGCCTCATTTGTTTTCTATACTCTTCAGAGGTTTAGTGATACTATTTTGTCAGCAGCAGCCAATTAATAGGATAATGAACTTACTCACAGTGTTTGCCCACATAATTACTGAGAGGGATATTTTCTCACTTTCAATCATCTGTTCTCTTTGTGGTCATAAGCTATGCATCTTCTTTTTGTCTTTTACCTTTATATGATGAATGCTAAACTTCACTATGTATGAAACT